GTGGCATGGTTTGTTGGAGATGAGGTGGCCGCAAATTTAAGTGCTTCTTGGTGTCGCGTGCTTTGTCAGCGTCGTTCACCCCAGTACGTCGTGGCTTCGTGTACTCGACCACTTACCTTTCCATAGTCTCATGTGGCCCCGTACAATATTGAAGTTTGGTACGTTTCGGTTATCCCGTAGTACATGCTGGAGGTCATGTTCTTAAATGGCCTGCGCTGTTCCGAGTTTTTCCTGGCTTCGTGGTTCCCTGCACACCCGTGATCCATGCTGTTTAGTGGTTATGCGCCCTCTCTTTTGGGTTCATGCTCTTAAGTACCGTCTCTTTTGTGGCTGCTTACTATGTCCTGTTCTGAACCGTTTACGTGGACTACACCGGTTTCGTAATACATGGTCTTTCGTGGCCGTTGGCCTCCTATCGCTGGTACTGTAGCCGAAGGGTGCTATTACGTGGTATGGTGCCTTCACGCAGTCGTGTTGTTCCGTCGACCGTGTATCGTGCTCTCCTGGTGAGGTTCCGTCGACCGCGTTATCACGCTATCGTGCAATCGCGGTGTGGTTTTGCTGTCTAAGGTATTGTGCTCGCGCAGTGCATCTGTGTTGCCCGTGTTATCGCGCTCTACAATGGTATCGGGCTCCACAATGTGCAATCGTGGTCGTCCCCCCGTGTATTTCGAAGCTGGTCCGCCGTCCGTGCAATAGTGTTCTAATGTAGTATCGTCCTCTGTGGTTCGGGGAGCTCAGGTTCTACACTGGTATCGCTCTCCGCGGCTCGGTGGCTTCCCGTCTATAGCTCCGCGGCCGTGTTCTCCCATGTTTAGTGGCATAGTCCATGCTACCGTGCAAATGTGTGTTATTGAAGATTTGTTTTCGTGCACTCTTACCATTACGTGTTCTTCCGTGTCTCTAAGCGTGTGTGCTCCTTGTTTCTCAGCATGTGGGGTGTCATTATTTTAGCCCTCATCCGCCTCCTTCATTTCATGTCCTTCCGTGTTTGTCATGGCTGCGAGTTTGCGTCCGTGGTTTGTGATTTGCAAAAACTGTTGTGACCTGTATTGGCTTAGCTCCCTTATATCGTCCGCGGCCTTCCGTGCTTTGTGCTGTTCCTTGTATCACATCGTATACATAGTCTGGCTCGGTGCTCCTCTGCGCTTCGTGTTCTTGCTTAATCACGTGCCTCCGCGCTGTTTCAACTGCACACGCTGTTTCCATTTTGTGATGTACGCTACATATCGTGTTGGAAGTGCGCACAACCTCTTAGGGTCGCACACTACGCGCGCAAATACAAAGAAATACGATCCTGTTTTTTTTCGGCGGCGGGGTGGTGTACATGGTTCTGTGGAGTGAGATGGTGAGAAGCCACTATATTCACATTTTAAACGTTTTCAAATTTTTAACATTAGTAATCAATTGTGTATCTTAATCTAACTTAAATAGAATACAACTGTTTAAAGTCATAAGTATTAGTAATAAATGCGTTTATTTATCTAGCGCTATTAAATTAATTATGTGTAGTACTACTACAAACGTTTGCAAGCAATAATATGAAAATTATATTTAGAAAAGCAAAATAGTACCAGAGGTAAAATTACTACGAAAGTACAACGAAGCTAAAACAAATTATATTTTAACCAATAAGTTCTAAAGTTCCAATTTAAGCCGAAATATAGGTCACCAGGGCCTACATTTTTATTCAACAGCTCCTACGACGACATAGTACGTGTGTGCACGTCGGCAAAGTCTACCAATGCAAACTAACCCGCACACACGCAGCGCCCTTTGCGTGGCCTTGTAAACCGCTGCTGAAAATGAGAGCAAAATGAAATTTAAGCGGTACTTTAAGTACGATATGTCGACCACATACATTGTGTCAACCACATAAATAAACTATAAGCCAATCGACGCCGCCTTCGCTGCGCTCGACAGCCAGTTAAACGCCCGTATTTGCGTTACATTAATTAACCCTAACCGCGGACAGAAGGACGCAGAACACACTCCATTAAGGGGGTAGATTAAGGGCCGTTCTTGACCGAGATCGCGATCCCAAACTCGAACTCTGATTGGCTGCTTCCTCCTCGCTTATTTACGAAAGTATACCCCGCGTACCCCACTGCGACCCGAGTCTTGGATCGCGCGCTGATCGGGATCGCAGGTCTGGTGGAGTGAAGAGATGGACTTGCCGCAGTTTATGGAGTGCTCTCGGGACAATTACCGACGCCGGCTTCGCCTCCTCCTGCTAGCAGCTGCAGTGGAGTTGGCCCCTGACGGGATGGCTGTATCTTGCGTCGCCGGCTGGATTGAGACGTGCACAAACAGACGTTGCTGTTGGAAGGACAGTTCCAGCGTTGTTACCGCATGGAAGTGAAGTCGTTCGAGCTCCTGCTGTCGTTCATCAGGCCGGCGCTGGTCCGAGATGAGCTGCAGTCTCGTCGCCGCACGGGGACAGACCCGATATCCCCTGAGAACATGCTGTAGATGACTATTGCAAGGCTTGCAGGAAGTGGTTACCAGGTAAAGCGCTGCCTTGGTGGCACGTCGGCTCCTGCCGTGTACTCGGTGATGCATGAAGTGATGGACGCTATATGCCAGTGCCCTGAGTTGAGAATTCGTGCTCCAACCGAGTCTCGTCAGCGCATGTTTGAATTAGCCGATGGGTTTGCAAAGATCAGCACGGACAACATTTTGACTGGGTGCGTTGGATACATCGACGGATGGCTGTGCGAGATTCGTGCACCAAGTGTCAAGGAGGTTCCTGATGTGACATCGTTCTTCTCGGGCTACTACCAAAGGTATGGAGTCAATGTCCAGGCTATATGCGACTCGCTGTCGCGATTCACTGGTTACTGCTTTGATTCACCGGGAAAAGTGGGAGACTCGATTGCATTTAGAAAGTGGAAGCTAAGCAACGCTATCATGAAGCTACCCACAGGTCTCTACATTATTGGAGATAACGCATATCCTCTCTCGAACTCGCTGTTGGTGCCTTTCAACAAGCTCGAGGTCAGGAGCAAGGCGCACTCGGGCTGCAATTTCTATTTGAGTCAACTACGCATCAGGATCGAGATGGCGTTCGGTTTGCTGGTAAACAAGTGGCAGATTTTCAAGCGCCCGCTCGCCGTCGACTTTGTGAACGCTAAGAAGGTGATGAAGACGTGCATGAAGCTGCACAATTTTTGTATTGATGAGCAATCCAATAATCAGAATGCGGCTAGCGGCGTACATGCAATTAATGCTGAGTATCACAGCTTATCCGAGAGCTGGTACCAGCCTACTGACAACTTCACCGAGACCGATGCCCTGCGGCCTGATGCGCTTGGGCGTATCCTCCGTGATGTTGTCATGAATCACGTCCATTAACTTTGGTCTTCGTCGTCCCCGAGCCCGTTAGCAGCTCTTCAAATTGGGGTGCGTTTTACTACTGGGTTCCGTGCCTGATGTCAGACTCGAGTTGGTTGATGTGGAGCTCCAGTGTCTTCTGTTTCTGGTGCTGGCTCGCGAGAGTTTCTCCAATTTCAGCAGCATCACGTCCCTGAGCGATGCACTCGTGCCGTTTTTGTCAAGAGTTGCTGGGTGACCGTGTTGTTGCGATCAAGCATGGCGTACAGCGTAGTCAGCTTCTGCGCCCCCCCCCCCGCTGTTCCTGAATAAGTAGTTTATGCTCGTTCCAGGTGCCTTCCTGCACAGCAGCAACTTCCGTCGTCTCAGCATCCAGCAGTGCACTTACGCGCTCAAGGATATCGGATGACTGCGAGCTCTTTCGACGCTTTCGGTTCACGGTCTGCTTCGACGGCTGCCCTTCTTTCGTCGAGTCATCTTCATCAGCAGCATAAATATTCGCAGCGCAGAACTCACGGCCATCACCACGATGTTCACACCATCGATCAAGGTAGTAAACGTCTGCTCGTCCACCGCAAAAATCCCAGAAGTCATTACTTCCAGCCCCGACACCTTTGACTTGGTCTCCGCGCTGGCAAAGTTGCCACTAACCTCCTTCCACATCCGCTTCAGTTTTGCAGCAGAGTGAACCAACGAGAAGGACGCATCAATGTCCTCAAACATCGCTTCAGAAGAAATTACAGTGTTAAACTCACTAGTGTCGTCTCCAAATGCCGCAGCAACGTCTGACCAAAACGAGGAGCCCCCTTGATCAATCTGCTTGCGCAAGAGTTGGGTCCCAGTGGCGATAAACTCCTCGAAGAAGCGATCCGAAAACAACACGTTCAGCAATCTGAACATGCATCCATTGGCGCGTTTGGCTTTCTCGCCACCTTCGCTTGCTTCCGCTGGCGTAGCAGCAAAGCTTCAGCTCCACCCCTCTTCGCGTCCCACGCGTCGAGGATCATGGCGCGGTCGTCCTTCTTAGTGTTCTTAATGACGTTTAACTTGCGGGCGGTGCACTCCAGCTTGAGCTGATCGAGGCTCCATTTGTTGTAGCTCTCCGACGTTGGAGGGCGCAGAGGACGCTTGAGCGTCGCCAAGTCGATCGTCACGGTCCACTTGGAGCTAACCTTGGTGGCCGTTGGGTCAGCAGAAGCAGCAGCGACGCTGCTAGCCTTGCGCTTGGGGACTCACGCCATGTTTGCTTTTTGGCGGCAACGCGTTCCGGTGCTATCAGATCGCAATCCGGTCAAGAACGGCCGGATCGCTGTCTGAACCATTTCGCCACGACGCCCTAGCCCTTCAAATTGCGGTAAGAACGGCCCTAACACAGTCTGGCATTTAATGAGGTCTACCTCACACGGGCATATTAATATTTCTGGGATCACCTAGCCCTAGGAGATAACCTTAAATTAAAAGATCTACAGTAGTCGTTTCGAATTAATCGCAAGCCACATCATGATAGTGTTCGGTTAAGTACGAAGAACGTAACCGGGTTTTCCGAACCGAAGCGAGCGGCGAATCCAGACCATTCACCGATTCGCCGCCCAGAGCTTAGAGCACCAGACGACCAAGTAGCGCAGAGCTACCGAGAAGAAGCAACCAGGTTGCCAGGCAATTTTTTCATGCACGTCATCTCCTCTGCACCCGCCGCTCCGTCGCGGAACCCGCCGCGGACGTCGTACTCGTCCCTCGGAGGGAGAACAGTGCGTTTGGAGGCTCCGGATGGGCTGACGGGCCGCTGGGATGGACCCGTGTACGCAACGATTGGTCGTGAGCCGAGTCTCCGGGAGTCTGCAGCCAGCCTATTCTTCGACGATGCTGATGGACTGAAGCGACCTGGCTGGCAGGCCACTCTCACGTTTCTATTGCCTGGTCAGCGCCGATCTGACGTCGACCCCGCGCTCCAAGAGCACGTTGATGTGAAGTATTGGATCCCGCATTGGCGACTGACGCAACCGTCCCATGATTTGTCGGAGGAGCTCCTGGAGCGTCCTCTTCTTTCGGTTTTTCGGTTCCTGCGGTTTTCCCAGTTCTTCGTGGCCTCAGCTGATTGTGACACCAAGTTCGTTCGTCACACCTCTGAGGTGTACTTGTGTGGTCAAGCTCTCACCTACGGTCGAGCTTCGACCATCGTTTTGGTGGATGACATAAACCTTGTGCTGGATCCGGGATGCAATTACTTGTGTATGATGGGTGTGCGCGGTCCTGCGGACGCGCCCCGTCAAGTGGTGGCCGTGCCATTGAACGACATGCGCAGCCAAGCCATCTCACGTGAAGAATTCCTGCTGGGCTTGGACATGGTTTCCGGGTCACATCGTCACTGCCTAACTTTACGACTGCCTGGCAGTTGTTCACTACGTATCCACCGGTCGGTCCGGCTGGTGTACGAGCTACTCTAACGAGTTTATTCAAGGCACCTGGTGCTATGGGTGGTATCTTGGTTGACATTGGTGGTCAGGCCATCTCGTACGTTACTCCTCGTGGGGCTAAGACTTCCGTGGTTTCCGCTACGTTTGCCTGGCAATGTGTGGCTACCCCGGCGCTCGACGATACTGTCTCCGTGGATCTGGATCTATTACATGAGTCGTCAGACGACGATGGTCTTCCCTTGCTCACGCTAGAAGATACGATCCTCACCCCCTGCGACCTGTTCTCTACCGTACGCGCGGTTGGCTCACCAGCGGCACCTGGTGCCAGCGCAGCCACGGGGGCTCCGCAACGTGGACCGGACCAGTCTACGGCCCACACGTTCTTGCAGCACATACTGCAGGAACAACGCGACGCCAATGCTGCATTTCGCTCCCAGATGGAGACCATGGCAGCCACGCTGGAATCCTTGCAGCAGCAAGTGGCCCAACCTGTAACTCTGCCTCCGCCGCCCCAGGGGCGCGCATATGGCTATTTCGGACCCAAGAGACACCGCTCAACATCGTGTCGTTGAGCAACAAGTGGGTCGACCCGAGTGGCCGCGTCACGAGCTCGACGAGGAGCCACGGTCGCCGGGAGGCTACCCGCAAGCACATGGTCAGGCGAAGCCGGATCAGCGTGGGCGTTCACGAGGTCGTTTCCGTTCACCGGCCCCACGCCGCCACCGCCGCTCTCGTTCTCTGCGCCAGGCGCGGCGCTCTCGATCTGGTAGCCCACAGTCCCGACTGGGACGCTCTCGCTCTCGTTCACGATTACGTTCCGAGCGACCTCACCGCAGGTCCGGTGCCAGGCACCGCCAGTCCCGTTCCCGTCACCGCCGGTCGCGCTCAAGGCGTTGTATACGATGGCCCATGGCCACTTTCCGGTCGGCAACAGTTTGTTTCGACCATCGACCAGCGAGGTCGCGGATACGATGGCCCATGGCCACTTTCCGGTCGGCAACAGTTTGTTTCGACCATCGACCAGCGAGGTCGCCGGATACGATGGCCCATGGCCACTTTCCGGTCGGCAACAGTTTGTTTCGACCATCGACCAGCGAGGTCGCGGTCCATTGTGCAGCTCGGGTGGGTCCGCGCCCACCGCTTCGGTCAGCAGGTACGGATGAGTTCTACAGGCGCTTCATTAATATGCCGTGGTACGATCGAGTCTGCGCCATCCATCGTCAAGAGTGTTTTCGAGGGCGATACCGGGTACCGTCAAGATGTTGTTTTCGGTGGATTTCTTTAGCCATCCATTCAACCACTTCTTGGCCTCAGAGGACCCCGGGGGCTACCGTCAAGACAGAACAGTGGTTCACGAAGACTCTCAATGGGGCGGCTTTGAGCCGGCTCCAGCTGTAACGATCCGCCGGGCGGACCAATTGCACCAGGTGCTTCACGTTCTTCATGAGGCAGCGGCGGAATGGTATGGCTGCCGTCCTCCGTACGGTGCATGGCGACGCCGTTCAGAACGTGCCCATTGCGGCTCCCCGGGAGCTGCTCAACGCCATGTGCAACCTGTACCAAGCGATTTTCTCCAATCTGTACGACGACCTTCTTCACGATGTGGACCATCGTGATCTGGAAGTTCACGCCCGACACGAGTTGCGGCAGGACACGCGTATCAACGCTTTGTGGCCCTTGTGCCCAATGCTGCGGTTGTCCATTCTGTGTTTTCAGCGTCGCCAACCAGTGCTCCACGAAGGCGCCAGTCGCGCAGCACTCCTCGATACGACCGCAGCCGTCGTACGGATCGGTCTTCGGGTCCGACCAGTCGTCGGCCTGACAATCCCCCGACAATTATTCCGCCCGGCATCCGTACGCAGACCCCGGTAATCAACGGCAAGCAGGTGTGCGTTCGGTTCCAGTCTGTGCCCATTCCCCAATTGCAGCCATCTGCATGAACTTCATGAGCTCCCGCCAGATGTAGTGGAGTGAGTGACCGGAATGCACGCTGGCCTCAAGGCTGCGCACCCGCAGCGGGTGTGAATGGTTTGGGGCGGCTTGCAATCTCAATTGTCGTCTCGTTTATTTAACATGACACCTGCTGATTCATTTCCTCCCGTGAGTCCTTCTGCGTCTGACGCTATTTTTACTTTGCACCGGGTGTCAGACACTCGGTCCGCCCCACACACTAATCTGGTCGCGTCTGACGCGTGCCTTCTTGATCCTGGTGCACCTGGTGCCCAGGCCGTGTCGCCGATCGCCGGGCTTAGAGCTCATTGCGCCCTACCACCGGATCCAACGGTGTCTGACACTGGTCCGCGTGTTACCGGAGCACCTGGTGCCCGTACGGCGTCATCGGGCACCGTCATTTCTGTCAACATAGCGGCAGCCACCAGCCCGTCGGTGTCTGGCACTGGCTCGTGCGATTTCGGAGCACCTGGTGCCCGTACGGCGTCATCGGGCACCGTCATTTCTGTCAACATAGCGGCAGCCACCAGCCCGTCGGTGTCTGGCACTGGCTCGTGCGATTTCGGAGCACCTGGTGCCCAAACGGCGTCATCGGACGCTGTTACTCCTGCACATGCAGTTGGAGTCACCATCCCATTGGTGTCTGAAGCGGGCTCGGGCAGTTTCGGAGCACCCGGTGCCCGAACGGCGTCGTCGGACGCGATTACTCCTGCACCTGCAGTTGTAGTCACCAGCCCATCGGTGTCTGACACTGGCTCGTGCGATTTCGGAGCACCTGGTGCCCAAACGGCATCATTGGATGCTGTTACGCTTACACATGCAGTTGCAGGCACTAGACCATCGGTGTCTGACACTGGCTCATGTGATAGCGGAGCACCTGGTGTCCAAACGGCGTCATCGGACGCTGTCCTCCCTGCCTGCGGCTTGGCAGTCATCAACTTATCGGAGTCGGACTCTAGGCCGGACCAGCCGCCACCGTCTCTAGCGCGACCTACGATTTTTGCGTCATTCGACGGGGGTGCCGAGCTACCACTGGCCGTAGCTCCTACGCCTGGTGTGTGTGATCGGGCTCTCATACTCTCCTTCGCTGGGAAGCTCGTACGTTCCTCACGGCACGTACAAAACACGTGATGGAGGCCCAGGGTCTCTTCGCGTGCCTCTTGTGGATCCGATCAAGCGTTCCGAACTGCCATGCATTCGTTTCGG